TAAGCGCTTGGCGCGAGACCGATAGGTCCCGGGTTCGAACCTCGCGGGGTGCGGGATCGTTGATGAGCACTGCCGAGGAGTCCCATACTAGGACGAAACGGCCGTCCAGTGCTTCTAGGTTTTCCATGATGGTCTAGCTTCAATTGACTCATGATTTCAATCTGTGAAATATCTTTATTCTTTAAAATATTATGAATGTTTTGGATATAAATAGCTAACTGTTAAGAGTAATCTAATTTGAAATTATCGACAGTATTACAGTCAAAAGTGACTGATCACTGGGTGGTGGTCAATGTCATGTGTATCAAGTCATTCTTAGTGCAGATCAAATGCTATCGACCAAATTGCAGTATTACATTCATTCTAAAGCTTTTATAATTTAATAATTACTATCAGTAAATAGATTATTCACAGTTATATAATATACCCTTGGGGAGCCAGGGTAATTTTACATTGGTTTTCAAGAGAACCAGACACCATTCAGACTTTCACGTGACAACCCAAACAGTACAACTCAATCCCGTCTAACAGGAGAGCCAAACACCGCCAAGGCTTAAATTTTATAAACCGAGCAGTACAGCTAAATCTCGCTTCACAGGAGAACCAGACACCATATAGGCTTTAACGCTACAACCTGAATAGTACAACTCAACCATGTGGCGCAACCACACAAGTATCAAGCACCATGGTGGTAAATAGAAAGCATCAAGTCTACTATGCTTAATAATTCTGATTATTGCCATAAACTATGTAACTTGATAATTTTGGCCTATAGAAGTAAATTTCTAAGAAATTCATCTGTTCTATACCTAAATAATCTAATATGATCAGAAGGGGTTTTGTAAAGATTTTAGAACTATCATTAGCTGAAATCATGAGTCAATTGAAGTTAGACTACCATGGAAAACCTGAAAGCACTGGACGGCCGTTTCGTCCGAGTATGAGACTCATCAGTAATGCGCATCCATGATCCCGCCGTTCACTGCTTCTAGGTTTACCATGCTGGTCTCTCTTCAATTGACTTATGATTTCAACTACTGAAATCTAATATGACTTAAATTTTAGCCAATTTTTTTGGGGGGTGGGGTGTGGGTGGTGTTGTGAACTAATCAATTTGATCACTGCATTCCTTTAAGATTCATTTACATAGTTAATAAAAGATATACAATTCATACACACAGATTTGGCAACTAATTCATATGGTTATTACATAAATATTCATGATGAACATATTGAAGTTGAACTTATCAGCGAAATCAATAATGATTCTATCTATGATGAACATAATGGTACACTTTACATAGTACAGTAGTTTTAGTCTTTAATCAATTAAACAAAAATATGATAACAGAAGATTGTTTTTCAAAGAAAAACTAAAGCTGATAATGATAATAACTCTGTGACCGTTGTAACTTATTATGTAACATTGTGAATTCGTTATAAATATGATGTACACTTTGATCCTGATAAATAATTGAGCTTTTTTTTCTAACAATGTTAATCAGTCAGATCATGAATAACATTGGTCATACTCTGTGGTGCGTGCTACAGATGTCTCTCGATGGAGCTTACTTAGATATGTCTGTTACACCTCGTGGAGGAGCATACACCGCCCACCAGCCCTCTCCATCCAACCCTGGAATGGGTAATCCTTTACAGTGATTTCAAGTTGATATACATCCTTTTCATGTCTATTTCCAATTCTCAACTCAACATTTCCCTTCAGGATTCCAAGTTAGTGCTTGCCTCGTAATGCAGTTTAGTGATTTGCGTAATGCATGTCCTATCCACTTCTAATGTCTTTGCTTAGTTTCGTCTTCAGCTGGAATCTGGCTTGTTCTCTTCCATAGTAAGCTGATATTGATGACATCTGGTCAACGGACATTGAGTATCATGTATAGACGATTGTTTGCAAATACTTGTACTACTTTGATGATGGTTGTGATAGTTCTCGAAGTTTCAGGTCTGTATAAGAGAACTGTGTTGACATTCGTATTGGAGTTTATGACTTTGATATTGGTTGATAGACAGTTGTTCTGAATTCTATATATATTCTTCAATTGTAGAAATGCTGACTTTACTTTTCCAATTCTTACCATCACGTCTGCATCAGATGTTACTTGTTCATCGATGATGTATCCCAGGTACGTGAAATATTCCACATATTCCAGAGATTCTCTATCAAGTGTGATTGAGTTGGTGTTTTCCGCGTTATATTTGAGAATCCTGCTTTTTCATTTGTGTATGTTGAGGCCCATTGATTCAGAGGTTGATGCTACACTAGTTGTCTTCATCTGCACTGTCGATGTAAGTAGTATGTAATAACAGTCAGAAGTAGAATACTTATCAAAAGACGCTTGAGAAGGTTAAACTGAAGATAATATGAAGAGAAACATAAAGGAATTGAGAATTGTAAGAATCATGAAGGATGTAAAAGACAATTGATGAAGTATGCATGCAAATGAATTATTTAATGTATGATTATCACACTTTACGAAAGAACTCTGCAATTTCGCATTAAGTAATAAATTAGTTTTTTCTACCTGAGTATTAACTCACAACAACTCCAATGTCAATTTCAAGAATTTAAAATTTGGTAAACATCACCTAGACAGTGAATCAGATGTAAAAAAGAACATGATAGACAACACAGATATAATACTTCCATCAATAGAGGTGATTGAAATTCCTCCTCGTTTTGAATCAAATTTATTTCAATCGTTGAGATCATAAGTCAGTTGAAGCTAGACCATCCACGACCCCACCCCGCGGGATTCGAATCCAGGAACATTCAGTTGAAACTAGAAATTAACACCATTGTATACCGGCCAGCTAAGTAGTCTAATGGTTAATCGCTAGCACGCGACACTGATAGATACCGGGTTCAAATCTCCCGAGGCGGATTCGTGAATACACACTGCTGAGGAGTCTCACAATAACACGAAACTACCATTCAATGCCTTCAGATTTTCCATAGTGATCTATCATCGACTGAATCATTATCTCAACTTTTAAAATAACTATAATATCCACAAATAACCCCCTTCTGATACAAAGTACTTTCGAAATATTGAAAAATTGTAGTTTATACTTGAATGACTAGATTATAAGTTTAATCCTTAGATAGAAAAGATGATCATTTTATCTAAACTAAAGTACAATCAAGATAGGATCTCATGTCTATTCACTTTTACTGTTTACTGTTTTCAATTTAGATAAATTTTGTATCAAAAAAAAGAAAAAAGAAAAAAGATAAGAAAAGAAAAAAAATGACACAACGATATAGATCTGTTAAATTATCGATTATATTACAATGAAATAATGTACTTCTAGAATTCTTTACTGTTTTTTTTCTTTCTTTTATAAGATGCTGGTTGTCATCTACATATATCTATCTATCTCTATACCTAGATAGATTCAAACTGTTTTGTAACCTATGATTAAGTCTAATTCTAAGTATACAATTAAACTAAGTTTCATTATCAACCAGCCAACCAACCAACCAACCAACCAATCAATCAATCAATCAGTCGATCAATTAATATAGAAACAAATTTTACTGATCTACAACTGTGCATTGATCTTGACATCGTGTTAAAAAAAAGCAAAAAAAAAGAACAACAACAACACCCCATGAGTTAAAATTAAAGATAAATTTTTTTGGTGTGTAAAAAAGAAAACTACTGAATTGATTCGAATTTTAAAATGTTTTTTTTTTCGTTTATTGTTTTGTTACTATGGTGTATAGTATCTTAGATAGTTGACTGATTAGAAATAAACTATTATGAAACATTAGGGTAGTTGCTTTTTGTTGTTGTTGTTGTTGTTGTTGTTGTTGTAACATATTCGATGTTTGTAAGTTTCAGACGAAGTTTTGTGAAGATTGTAGTAATTTCAATAGTTGAGTTTATGAGTCGCTCAGTTTTGTGGTTTAGTAAGTTAATAAAGTGAATAATTATAGTTTATTAATGATGTTCACATGTAAGTGAAATAGATGTTAATAATACGGTAAATATTGGTTTTTTTAAAAACTAGTTTAATTTATTACATTGATATTATGAATGGGACAATGTTAGACCACCAATGAAAACCTGGAAAGTACTGGATGACTGTTTCGTCTTAGTATAAGATTCTATAGTAACGTTCTATTTATGATATTTGTCTAAACTTAATAATCTCTACAAATCTATACAGTGACAACAATCATGTACTCACTAGTAACTAGATTTAAGATGTAACTCCTGGATTTCTAATGAGAAGCCATGGTTGGTGGAGTCCAATCCATGTCAGATGTGAGATAGTTATCCACCTTAGACAATACATAAAGAGTTGTGTAAGTTAATGGATCGATTGAAGTTAGAAATGAACATCATTGGGTGATAGCACAGTGGTCTAGATGTTGAGTATTCACGCACTGGAATGATGGTCCTGGATTGAAGTCTCACATGTGGGATCGTGAACACGCAGTTCTCAGGAGTCCCATACTGAAACAAAAGAGCCATTCAGTACTCTCAGGTTTTCAATGATGATTGAGCTTAGATCGACTCGTAATTTCAACTTTCAAAAAGGCTACAATCTCCACAAATCACCCTAGTAACAACAATATTTACTACCTGATAAGTTACTCTCTGACGAGATAATATAAAGAAAATTGTCGACTTTTAAGATATTTCAATATACGTCTCAAACAAAAATTAAACTGTGACAATTTTGTTCTCTTGAACTGAAACGTCGCTAAAAACAATTGATTACTAGACAGTATAGTATGTCCTACTTCATGCATATTATTCCTGAATAGTTTTGATGATTAGTTCAACATTCTGAAGGGTTTCAATCTAAGACGTATTATTCATTTTGTACTTCATATTTTCCCAATAATTCCTCATCTATCATTACTTAATGCTGAAAATAACATTCTGATATTTCAAATAAAGTTCAAAAACACCATTTCATGCTAACCCAACAATTTGATAAGTATCAACTTAATAAAAAGAAGATATCAGTAAGATACATTGGGTTTTTTTTTCAATCTTCACATTACATCATAATAGATGATAGTTGTTTACAATGATGAAACCGATTTCCTTTCTCTTCTTTAAAACAAACAAACGAACAAACAAGCAAAACAAAACAAAACAATCATGATGGATGACAGTAAACTGTTGTTTTTTTTATCTGTGAGAGTTTAATATAAATAATAAAGAGGATAAGAAAAGCGAACCCTCTTTAGTTCATTTAGTTATTTCGAAATATCACTTAAAAAGTGTTCACTTGCTCATGGATAAAGTTTTCAAGAAAAGAGAAAGAAAAATGGGTGATCAACCACAATAGAGTGAACCAGTATTTGTTCCAAACCATTTAAAATATAAAGAAAACAGTAACAAAAACGGGGAAAAAAAACACCAACAGAAACTAGAACAAATGCCTTTTTTTTTAAAAAAAAAAGTTCACTAATTAATGAAGTGAAAAAAAGGAGAAAGAGCGAAAAACAAACCGGTCTATTATAATGTACAATGTTCAATTAACACATTTGTATTTGTTTTAATCATAATAGTAAATAATTCATTACATACATACATACCTGCATACCTACGTACATACATAGGGATATACATAATTAATTTGGTCAACTTACTAAACTGTTTTATATATGTAGATAGATAGATAGATATCCATTTTGTTCATTTACTCAGAATATTCAATGTTCAATGATGTAAAATCTTGTTTTTTGTTTATTTGTTTGTTTGTTTTAATGAAGTGAACATATTCATTTATATCATATTGAATAATGAATCTAATTCAAGTTTTGGTTTATATAATCTGAAACAGATTTATTTTTTAAGTAATAAAGGCACTTCAATATTTAACCTCAATTCATTCATACATGAGCTGGTTTACGTATAACACTAATAGATGGTTCATTAATATGATTAAAATTATTCGATTTTAATAAATCTGAATTTGTTTCTTCTATATCCATATTAGGAATAGTTTTCATTTCATTATATTGTAATTCTGTTGGATAACGATGTACTATTGTAGTAAAATTAGGTGTATATTGAAAAGAGATTAAATCATCCGGTTTACTTGATAAATGATCATCATGTTTCATGGATTGATGAAGTTGCTGTTGTTGTTGTTGTTGTTGAACTATCGGAATTGGACGGTTGTTAGATAATGATGTATTCAGATCATTTTGTTGTTGTTGTTGTTTAATTGTTTGTGTTGAATTTTGATGTGATTTTTTAATTTGATACAATAATTTCTTCCGTGTACTATCACCATAACAAACACTATTCCGTGAATATCTACCTAATGAACCAGTACGTGTAATACCATTTTTTCCATCAGAATTATTTGAAGGTGCTGGACTTACTGAACCATTTTGACATTGTAATAATAAACCACGTTGAGTTGAACTAATTGAACCATGTGATGGTATTGGATAAATTGTAATTAAACCAGAATTATCATTATATGATGCAATAGGTGCACCAGTTATTGGATAACCTGATATTTGTGCATATTGTGTATTTAATGCTGAATAAGAAATAGGAATATTTTGTAAACCATTTTGTGGATCACATGTACTTATATTACTTGCTGTCATTACAATATTATTCATACTAGCAGTTTCACTTGGTATATGTGTTATACCATAATGTCTTGGTGATTGATCTGTTATAAATAATGGTGATACTTGACTCATATTAACTTTACCATTCATTTGACAAAATGGTGTCGGTGATGGATGTGATTCTTTACATATACTAGCTTGAGATGAACGTATCATACGTTTTTTAAAATAATGTGGATTTTGTCTAAGACGTATACATAAGGTTAATGATGTCATTGCAAAGACTACACACATAAAACTAATTAAAGCACATGCAACACGTGATATAACTAATTGCATATATAATTCCCGATTTTGTCGTTCAGCTTTACTTAATGCTACATTATTCGTTCCAATGATAAGACTACTATTATCTTGTTTTGATATATTTATATTGGCATCATTTATATTAGATGGACATTGTTTACGTAAACAAAGAACATGTTGCGGTGTTAACACTAAATGTTCCGATGCTAATGGATTAATTAATTCTAATTTTAATTGTTTATCTGGACGTAGTACAACCATTAAATTTAAATCACCAACACGATCAGCAAGAAAAAAATATCTTGGATCATTAGCTAATTGGTTTGATTGACCAATACCGATCACTTCAGCACGTATTAATAAATCTAAACGTTCTAAATCAATTAATGATGCTGACCATTCATGATTAATATGGTTTAAGTCTTTTTCAGCTTGATTTAAATCTTCATCATTATTTAAATAATCATTAGATGATGATAAGGATGATGATGATGATGATATAGGTATTATTTCACCATTTAATAATTGTAATCTTTTACATGCTGTCGCATGACCATATGCATCTAAACTTGATGTTGGCGGTGATGTTAACCATGCATAAGTAATATTACATTGTCCTAAACGTCTTAAACCAGCTTGTCCTAAGATTGTATAAGAATCAGCTGGTAATAAACGTCTTGAACGTAATGATGAATATAATTTATTTTGTCCATTTACATAATATATCAATGATGTAATAATTAGACATAGATAAAATTCATAGAAATACATTATTGATAATTATTGATCGATCGATTGATTGATTGTTTGAATTAAAATTTCAATGTTTGTTTCCACATAGTTACTAAATTGTTTTTTTTTCTTTTTCCGCAGCAACAACAAAATTAAAAGAGAAAATTTATATAGAATCCATATAGTAAACAATCTTGATCCATTCTATACCATGGTTATTATGTTCATTTATTTTTAATGTTGTATACATATTACTTATTTCATCAGATTAGAATAAATTATATTTAGATTTTTTTTAGACAAATATATTTCATTGCTTCATTTTGATTGGTTAATTGAATTTGATGAAGAAAAAATAACGAAATCTAACAATTTGATTGGTTAATACATTTTGAACAACACAAAAAATAGGTGGCACAAAATGTTGATTTGTGTACATTGAATAAAAAAAAAATATTTTTTTTAATGATTTGATAATCATCTTTCTAAGAGAGAAAGAGAGAGGAATAAAAGAAGAAAATTTATATTCACTTGGTGTTGTTTTATTTGTATCTTCCCATTGTTATTTAAGATTGCAAGGATCATTCTTATGTTGGTATATGTGAATCTTGTGTGGATTGCCTCGATATAACCTTAAGTCACAAGCATTTTAAGCAAAGATGAATAGTGACTAGAAGTGCAATCCAGTTTGATGCATGTTTCATCCTATTTGGGACTTGTCAGTTGGATGTACTAGCATCGTAGAGTTAATGTTCGAGTCCCGGAGGGATGAATCCCAAGTAGGATGAAACACAAGTCCTGGATTCTACTGCTAGCCATTATCCAACTTTGATTAAAAGAAGAATTTAGTTTTAAGAAAAAAATGATATAATGAAATATTGTAATGTACTAATGTAGTGAACAAGAATATACAACTGAGGAAAATCGATTGTATTTGAATATAACATTAAAGAACGTCTCAGTAAAATCTGAGAAGCATTTATAAACTGTCAATCAATTATCTCAGACTTTGTTGTTTCTTCGTTTCCATACCAATCATTCTCTGTTCTGATGCTCTTCTCTTCAATGTTCTTAATCTTCTGCTGCCAGACATTTCACTTTCAATTGATGATGCATACTATTTATATTTATCGATATTAGTAGCACACACTATGCCAGTTTATAGATTTTGATGAAAGAAAATCAATTTTAGTATGGCTAGTGTATAATTAGTAGTGGAATGAAAGATGCACGTTTTGTCTTATTGTCTTTCTTGTACAGTAGTACCTAGATCTCAATAATGATCTTCAATACCATGAGATTAGAACCTAGTGCCTATCGTTTTAAATGCCAACAGACTGTAAACAAGTAGGATTAACATGCGTCTTGGATTTAACTGCCAATTACTGAGTAAATGTGCCAGAAAAAATTGTCGAAAGAATAGAATTCACTCATGATGTATATACAATAACTGAAACTGAATATCAGTAATCTTAAGTTAAATGACATTATTACAAGGTAAGCATTAATTTGTTGTAATGTCACTGATGTGATTATATGTAAGGCTGAAATAGCATGTTTCATGGGGAATGAATTCGTATAGAAAGTTGGGATAAGTAAACAGTGTGCTGGATAGGTGATTTTATACACTATGTGAAGAACATTCTAATCAGACAGGATAAACAGGAGAGATCACATTGTTTCTTAATTCAGCCTAGTTGTTGCTGAGTGTTATTTCACTTTTTAATTCTGTAGGATAACTGTTTTATTTCCAGTATGATTGTTATTCAGTATGATATTCTTTGGATTGAATTAACGTGAACTATGTGTTTTAGTGTCCCAAGATCTGACTCCAATTCGATCGTACGAATGATATGAGTTTCACATAGGGTCAGCCACTACATGTTCAGCATGATATTGAAATGATGATTTTGTTATAATTTCATACATATGACTTTTTTTCTAATTAACAATCAAACAGGGGTATAAATCAACTAAGGTCATTGTGTTTTTGGAATGAATCAATCTTCGTTCATACCAGTGTTCTGTGTAGTGATTCCTCTTTTTCAAGTATAAGTAATAGGCGACCTGATTATAGTGATTAATTAACCATCATACTTATAAAAAGTGATTTGTCGTGACCAAGGATGTAATATAGCACTTGTTAAAGTATGAGAACAAACCAGTATCCAGCTGAAGGCTAAATTAGGAAAGGATGATAGAAATGGATAGGACATACATTACGCAAAGCATCAAAACTACATCACTTGGTGAGCCCTAACTTGGAATCCTGAAGCAAAGCGGAAAATTGGAATGCCAAAGAACATATTACGTTGGGAAAGAGATGCAGATATGAAAAGGATGAACAAGAACTGAAAAGAAGTGGAAAGGATTGTCCAGGATAGGGTTGAATGGAGAGTGCTGATGAGCGGCCTATGCTCCACCATAAGGAGTAACAGGAGTAAGTAAATAGGTAAGTATCAGTTTCTCATCTTGATTATTTATACATGGATTACATAATTAACCAACAGATTTTGATCACTCAATAAAGTCAATCATGTTTAGATAAACTAATCAAAAACTCTATAAACTAGATTCAGTACATGGTAGGACTTATTATATTATAGTTTGTTTTAGAAAACAATACAAATAAGGTCACTAATAGGATACAAATATTGATCATCAAGTTCTAGGTTGAAAATCACTTACTATGGTCTGTACTTAATTGTAAGTACAAAATCTCAATTAGTTGTTATTTTAACATGTCATTCAATAGTAAGCGGTATATTTTAATATATGGTAATTATAAATGAGAATGGCGAGTTTATGGAGATTATAGTAATTTGAGTAGTTGAATTCATGAATTGAAAAACCTGGAAGAACTAGATAACCGTTTCGTTCTAGGATGGGACCCTTCATCAGTGTGTATTCATGATCCTATACGCTGGATCCGAACCCAGGACTTTCAGTCTTACGTGTGAACGCTTCACCACCTTAGCCAAATCATCTAACAGTTAGGTCACTGAATATCGAACAGTTCATCGATTCCCGTCAAGGCCAAAGATAACCAACACAAATCAGTTAATCGTATACCGTGGACTGACCCATATGGTGGTGGTGGTCTCATTATCTTCTCTGTACTCGTTCTTACTAATATATTTCCGTAATAACGTCCTTTGTGTTATACAGTCCTTAAAGCAGCCATAGTACCATGATACGCCAAAGGAGTAAACCACATTAAGTGCTGATCGTGAGGTGTAACTTTGAAGTTTAACTCTACCAGGCCCCCAATCATTCGACATTAGTAATTAACTAACTTAATATTATAACCAGTATTTCATTATGAATATTACACTTAAAATAGTTTGAATAGTTTATTATAATAAAAAGAGAATAGTATCATTAATCTTAAACTAATCAATCAAGTAATAGTGTAAATATTTTGTTGACCTTTATTTGAAAGTAGTATGTAAAGAACAAGGTCATTCAATGATGAATTATTAAAACAACAAACGTTCAATGTGATTGTTGTTTATAAGATGTACATTCAATAAAGTATTATGTAATAGGCTTTGTAACACTAATATATGTGGTATGCACAGACAGATCGATGTAAATTCTGTATGCTATATCTTAGAAGATAATTTTGTTCACTATGTTATGATCAGTAATGTGTTCTTTATTGATACGTTCTCCATAAAGTGTTTTTGTATGTTTTGAATTGTCATTTTAAAGTTATTTAATACTTGAAATCATGAGTCAATTGAATCTAGACCATTATGGAAAACTTGGAAGCACTTGACGGTCGTTTCGTCCTATTGTGGGACTCTTCAGAATTGAACATCTACGAACCTGCCTCACGGGATTCGAACCCAGAACTTAGTAGTCCCATGCGCCTACGCTTAATCTCTAGACGATTGAGTTGGCATCCAACGGTGTAATGACGGTTAGTGATCGTTCTGATTATGACCATTTTTATGAATGTTATTTATCTCATCAAACTATTTTAGCGACCTCTTATTAAATATTGAGTCATGTACTGTTTTTGATAACAAAATGGTTAATTAAAATAACCCAATGTGTCATTGCATCAACATAAAAAAAAAGAGAATTCAGCGAAGAAAGTTTTCTCTTCTCGACGAAATCACTTACTTAAGCTGAACATTCGTGTTGTGTTATTCCTGTTATCCCTAATGGAACAAAGGCCACCGACCAGCATTCTCCAACCCACTCTGTCATTCACCTTCCTTTCTACTTCTATCCAATTGTTGTTCAGTATTCACATGTCTGTCTCCATTTCTCGGTGTAATATGTTCTTTGGTCTTCCTCTTCTCCTTTGGCCTTGAGGAGTCCAAGTGATGAGGGTTTGCCTTGTGGCGCAGTAGGATGCTTTCCTCAATGTATATCCTATCCACATGCAGCGCTTCTTCCTGGAAGTAAATTCGTGTTTATAGTTATAGGGAAAATATATGTCTATAGAAGGATTGAAAAGATTGCATCATAAATGTTTTAAAGATAAACTTCCGATTTGGGTCACACCACTATGCATCTATAAATTTATTTGCTCATATGGAGCAGGTTACATTGTCCGCACAAAGAGATCAATTTCCAAACGCACTTCAGAATACTAACCGGCATAGCTTTCCAAAGTAGAATGCAAAATAATTACTAGTTCAATGTAGGGGCATTCAGTCAACTATGGCCATATCGCTACAAAGGAATCTTCTTTTAAAATAATCTACACAGTCATTGGAATTGGATCGAATGGAGGTCGAATCAAAATCTTATGCACTGCTGAGACATTGGTGATACACCAACTTTGAGTGCAAAAACGATTTGTCCAACCTCTCATCGTTCCTTGGCCTTAATTCCCTTTTGTAGTATGTTTAGGGTTTTTCATTGTTATTATTATTATTGATTGATTGATTGATTGATTGTTTTGTCATTCTAAACTGTAATTAGCTGTAATTATTGCCCTTAAACAAGTTTCTTTGATTATCATCCAGTTTTTGTGATTATGACCTTTATGTTCTTCGTGTTTCTTCTTCGTATTTGTCAATTAGACAATTGGATTAACCCGTTAATTATTTCCAGCCTTATATTCTTCTCTTACCTCTTGATTATTACGTAACCTCATTTGAGAATAAGAGTCTCATATCAATTTATGATCTAACCTTCTCAATCCTTCTATAGACACATATATTGACCATATAACTATAAATACGAATGTACAGCTAAAGTAAATGATTTTGACGAGAAGAGAAAACTTCCTTTGCTGAATTCT